ATGTTGAGAGAGAATAATAAAACAGCCAAACCAAAAATTCTTTGGTGGTCAGATTCGTCCGAAGTATCCAGTACTCATGATATTTTAACCATTAAACTTTAATTTTGGTATTTTTAAACAAAAATCTAAACCAAACTACTATGGAGCAATCAAGAAAGTCAGCAGCCAATCCAGTTAGCCATTCCAAAGTCATCTAACATAAGAGCAACTCCACCCTTTGAGCCCTTCCCCCTGGCAATTCACTATTGAATCCACCATATTGAACAGTAACTGCCTTTAATGAATAGTAACTACCATTAATGAACAGTAATTACCTTTTGCATCTCCACCCTTGGAGCCCTCCCCCTGGCAATATGTAATAAAATATTAGTTTTTTTTGTTTGTTTAAATAATATAAAATAAAATAAAAACATTGGAAATGGGGCTGCAGGCCCTCGGGCTGACACAAAAAAAATTAAATAATGTCTGGCCCTCGGGCTGCAGGCTGGTGGATTCCTGACGGGCCTTGTGCTCGGGCTCCCACCTTCACTCGGGCTCTCCATGGCTGGAGCACTGTCGACCGGGCCTCAGGCCCTTTCTTCTCCCCTATCCCCCGAGCAATCCACATGGGTGGAGTTGCTCTAATGCGCTCAAAAGCCATATGGTCGGGCAGTGTCCTACCAGTTTTGGCATAATTCGACCTTTTTTGTGTTTTTTTGAAAAAAGAAACAAAAGAAGTAAAAAGAGAAGGCATGTAAAAATTATTCTCTTTAATCATTTACTTTTTGGGTGTAAAAACATGAGAAAGGTACGGGGAGAGTATGCTAAAAGCTAGATTTGATATTCGTGTCGTATTTTTTGCGTTCGTATCGATTTTATGATATACCTAATATCTTAATGAATCGTGTCATGTAACATCCGTTAAAGTAAACCGATAATATGATCCGACCCGAAATTGATCCGTTAATATTATCATTTAATATGACTCGATCCATTATCCGTTAAAGAAAATATATTTTAAATCCCTAAATAATGAAGATGAAAAGCATAATTTGACCAAAAAAAATAGAAAACATAATACTAAATTAGTATATGTATACCACATTGTCACATAAATATTATTTCAAAACCTTAAAAAAACATTTGTCTTTCAAGTATTACATACTCCAAAATAAGAGCCTAAGGTCATCTCCAACTGAAGGGTCCAGAGGGCCAGAGGACCGAAAATAGTCCTAAAACCGTCTCCAACCGAGGGCCAGGCCAGAGGGCTTTGGAATCTGAGAGGGTCCCACAGAATCCTAAAGGGCCAAAGGGCTGGCTGGCTGACTCTTTTTTTTAAATGCGTCGGAATTACTGTCGGTTATAACCGACAGTAATTATTTAGTCTTTTGTAATTATTCGGTTATAACCGACATAATTGGTCCCGCTATGCTTTATTGTTTACAATTAGTGTCGTTTATAACCGACACTAATAGTAATTTGTACTACTATTTGTGTCGGTTATAACCGACACAAATTTATTTCAAAAAATTTGAATACAACGGCTAGCTTGCATTTGATTTTTTTTTACACAGTTTTATTATTATTTTTTATTTACAAATTTTTCTTATAACTTCTATTTTTCATATTTTTTTTAATTCTATTTTTTTTCTTATAACTTCTATTTCACAAAATTTGTTTCATATTTTGTTTTAATTCTTTTTTTTTTCCTATAACTTCTATTTTTAAATAGTTAACTTGAATTTAAGTTGTAGTTTTTAAATAATAAATTATGTTTGGCCCTCGGTTGTAGATGGTTTTTTGCGAGAGGGCTAAAACGAGTCATCTGGCCCTTTGGCCCTCGGTTGGAGACGAAGGCAAATATGGCCATGTATTGTTCATTAAAATATTAATATCTTGGAGAATCTTGGAGGGTCATAGGGCTCAAACGAGCCCTCTGGCCAGCCATCGGTTGGAGATGGCCTAACACTACTACAAAATTGGCTTTAATGTGTCAGAAGGTTGTGGCGGTTTTAAATGATTAATGTCGGATAAAATATTTGCAGTGTTTAAATAGTGGCGGATGACAGAACATTGTTGTCGGTTATAATCGACACAAGCACTCCACCATCATGAGAAATTTTTAATTGCGACGGAAACACAAGTTGTACATCGCGTGTTTTAATAGATGTGGTGGGAAATTTCATTTTTTAAATTATTAAAGAAGTCAAGGTTTTGGGATGAAGGTCAGGGATAAAGATTGGGTCTTGGGACGTCTAATTTGTTGAGTTATTTGATTTATGGTTGAGACCAACAACATAATGGCTTGGTTTTGAGCAAAAAATTGGAATTAATTTTTGAAAACTTTAACGAAAAATTTCCGGTACGGTTTATTTTAACGAAAAACCACATTTTTATACTAAAAAGTCAATCATAGTACTATTTACTTTCCCTTTTATTTTGTTCCTATCATTAAAACTTAAAGCTTTCAAGTCATTTTTATTAGTTCTCCTTTAATTTTCTGCCTTCCACCCATCTCGCTCTCCGGGACAAATGTTGCCTTGGTATAATCATTCAGATACTTCTATTGCTTCAATTTTTCATCTGTGAGAGAGCAGCCACTAATGGAGTGAAGATGGAGTGAAAGGGAAAGAAAAGACGGAAGGAGAGAGAAGAGAAATCCATTAAAAAGATTAAAATTAATTATAATAGTAGGATACATATTTAAGGGCCAGTTGTCAAGAGATGATTCGAGTTCGGGAAGCGGGTCACTTAAATAGATAAGAAAAATTTTGAACTTTCAATTTGGGGGCATAATCGGACTAACACAATCCAGAGACTACAAACCAGTCAACCACTCGGTTGGAATACCTTGTCACGTGGGCAAGTGTTCAGTGCTATTTTTTTTTTGTTAATTTTTGAAAAATCAAGATGCCTTTCCACGTCCACTTTAGTGGAAACTAGTTATTTATTGATTTATTTATTCTGACATTGTCCGGCTACAGCTTGGCAATGAATGCTTGTGCTTTCCCATTCCCCACTTTCTTCTGGCATTGAATACTTCCCCATGGCCTAGTCAGCACTTTTTCTTTTTGTTTCTTTTTTGTTTCTTTTCTTTTGGTTAAAAAGGTTACTTTGTTTTCACATAAACATAGTTACATAAGAGAAAGCCCAAATACGGTAGGCTAAACGTCATTTCTAAAGTGCGGATTGCATTTTGTGGGCCTTCCGTGCAGATCAATATAAGTTATTGGATTAAATCTGAATAGCTGATCAAACTCTTATATTCTTAGGCCTCGTTTGACAGCTCGGATTGTACTGACTATTTTTGTCGAATATGATAAATAGTCACCGGATAGTACTGACTAAATTAATCGGTCGTTTGGTACAGTATCAGACTAATGATCATATTATTTATACTATGTTTGGTATTATTCCAGATATGAAGTATCAAACTTAAAACAAAATTATAAAAAAAAAAAAAAACTGAAATCATCTCTTTTGTTCCCAGATCTCTCCGCCGCACCCCTCCAAACTCCCTCCCTCTCTATCCCTTCTTCTTCTTCCCCGTCTGCTACCCTGAACTAAACCCCACCACAAAGGCAGCAACAAGAAACCTAGCAAAACCCTCCTTTCAAATTCTCATCGTTTTTTTTTCCCAATCCTCTTTTTTTTTTTAGTTTTCCCAATCCTCTCTTTTTTTTAGCTACAAATCAGCCTAGCAAAAGTAGAATGGTTATGAAGGATATGACCCAAAGGAGGTAGATGGGTTCTTTGGCAATTGAAAATTTATAAAATCAATTGCAAAAATTTGAGAGAAAAACAACAATCTGATTCAATTTGATTGGAAAAAAAAAGTTGGAAGAAAAATAAGAGGGCAGAACAGAGAGAAGAAGAAAAATTGCAAGAAAAATAGGAGGAGGGCGGAACAGGGAGGAGGAAGAAGAATCTCAGATTCAGAAGTGGAGGAAGAACCTTGGATTCAGAGGAGAAAGCATGCGATGTGAGAGGAGTAGAGCGAGCGGCGAGAGGAACTCTCTGTAATTTGAAGCACTATGCTTCTCCCATTCGAGTTTCGTCAGTCCATCGCGATTGTCCTCTTACGCCGTTCGCGGTGATTAGAGAAGGAGGAGGAGGAGAAGTTGCAGGAGGGCGGAACAAAGGAGGAGGAGGAGGAGGAGAAGAACCTGAGATTCATATTAGAGGGCAAGCAATGCGGGATGGAGAGAGTGAGAGAGGCGTGTTTCTACCTGACTAAATGATACCGAGGTTTTGGGCGGTATAACTAAGCGGGTATCAGCCGGATAAAGGAGGTGGGGTCGGATTATTTAATCTGGTGGTTATTTAATTCAAACGGACACCAAACACCGTACTCCGTATTAATAGTACTATCCGGTACCTTATCCGATATGCCAACACAGGGCCTTAAAGTCTTGCACTTCAATCCAATGAATTCAAGGCATCAAGAGGGTAGAGAGATTAGAACGGTAGAAAATTTTTCTCCCAATCAAAAGATGATTCTCTACCATCATATTCTCACTCCATTCCATCCCTTTTTATCTTATTATCTCTATAAAAAAATTAATATAAAATGTTGACGTGATTTAACCGTAATCATTCAAATAAGAGAGCATGTAAGGGTAGAGAGATTAAAAGCATCTCCAAATAAGGTGTCAAATTTTAAACATCAAAATGATATTTAGTAGCTTACATGGCAATTTGACATTTTATGAAATATTTTGCTTCACCCCGATATGTCAAATAATAATGTTATTTATTAAAGTTTTTAATCTTTTGTGGGGTTTAGTGATTGAGACAACCAATCAAAAACTTGAAAAACACAATAACATTTATTATATATTATATTAATCTATTGAAAAACTATTTAATAAATTTGACATCTGCAGTCAAATTTGACAGCAAAATACTTTGTTTTCAATTGACTCAGCGTCACGTAGGAAATTGAAAGCTCGGTTGAAAAGAATTTACTGTCATTTTTTACTATTATATGCTTACGTGGCTGTTTTTGCATAAGAGTTAAGAGGATAGAGAATCCTCCTCCCAATCCTCTCATCCAAGACCCTGAGCACGAAGGCAATGTCTTTCTCCAGACAATGCCCACGGTTTTGAGTCAGGCCTCCACGCCGACTACGACAACCGCACTCCGCTCCACATCGACTTGCTCCACGGCTGGATCCACGTTTCCGGTCACGTGCTAATCCACGGCTGGATCGACATGCTACTCCTTCTTTTCAAGGTCTTAGGCTCTTCCTCCGTAAGCCCAATTGAGGACGGCTCTACCAAATCCCAACGCGATCTCTAGAAAAGGTTGGTTTTCTTGCATTGATCCCTTTAACCCTGACGTGTGTTTTTGCCATCTTTTTCATATTGTAATAGGAATTTGAATGTATATATTTTTTTAATTTCGTCGATTCCTACGATCTTTTGAGTTGTTTTTTTTTTTTTTTTTTCTTTTGGGTGGGTACGGCATTGCAATTTTCGATTGGGGCAATTCTTGTTTAATTTATATCGAATTGGTGTTGAGAGAATGGTAGTGGAGTTAAACTTCAAATTTGTGACGATTGTGATTTCAGATTGAAGTTTATGTGGTGACTGGCCTCGAGAATGCTCCGGCAAGAGTCGCACCATTCACGGGAAAATAAACTCTGAGCATCCAACTTCCAAGTGGTAACAGTAGTAGTAGCAGCAGCAGCATGGCCAAAAAGGAGACTGTCTGGAGTTTCGTCGCTTTTGAAAATCCGACATTGGGCGCTGAAGGATCATGGTTGTTGGATGGCTGCATCCAACTAAAATTAACTTATTTGTAATGATATTTAACAGTGATTAACTGTGGATTTTATTCTAATGTATGTAAACTTGTGTGATTTGGAATGTCTTAGTTGTCACAGCAGTGATGAATTGTGTGCTACAGTTTGGTTTTGCAGTGGGTTATGTTATTGATAACATTTCTAAAATATATTTGCTTATTTAAAATATAACCGGATTATATTATTTTCCGTGATTGCGTCCATATCATTACGCCTTTCATGTGGGTCGAAACTTTCCCTACAAGAAATTTCACAACACTTCAAATCTAGATACCAACCGCCATGTCATGTTAGCAGAAGATCGACATTGGGAACATAACCTTCCGCTCTCATTTTCGTATCTAATTTTCCTAGCACTACATAAATCTGATCAGAATCAAGGTGCAATCCATCTCCGGCAACAAAACTACGGATGTCACTCTCCACCTCGAAAACGCTCTGCCCGGACATCTTCATTAACGCCTTCCCCTTTATCAAAGTTCTAAGATTTGTCACATTTTCCCATTTGTTATCCATGGCATATACATTCGAGAGCAGGATGTAATACCCTGCATAATTAGGATCCAACCGAAAATGACTCTCTGCTGCAACCTCTTATGTATCCAGAACGCACCAAGCAAGGCTCCCCAAACATGCGCTGCAGCTGGATTTGGCATTCTCTCAACGATTTCCATTCCATTGTCCAGCTCTCCTGTCCGGCCTAGAAGATCAACAATTCCCGTAGTGCTCAGGTCCGGGCTTAAGTTGGTATTCGTGCAACATCGTGTTGAAGATCTCGATGCCTTCTCTAACCAAACCCAAATGGCTACACGCAGATAAAATCGAGAGAAATGTTACATCATTAGGCTTGACATCTGAGTGCTTAACCATCCGATCAAATACTTTTAAAGCTTCTTCTCCTTGTCCATCAACTCCATAACCTGCAATCATCGCGCTCCAGATAACGACATCTTTGTCTGTTATGCCTTCAAATAATTGGACAGCATTGTCTATGCTTCCACCCTTCGAATATTACTCTATGAGTGAAGCTCCAACAAAGATGTTATTCTTGAAGGCGCGTTTAATCACATAAGCATGGAGGCAGAGAGCTTGTTGAAGAATCCCTAATTCCGAACAAGCTGCAAGAAGCTTGACCATAGCAACGGCATCAGGCTGAGTTGTGTCTGATAGCATGTCGCGAAAGACCCTAATTGACTTGTATGCCATTCCGTTATGAGCATACCCGCTCAACAAGGCAGCCCACGAAACCACATCTTTCTCTGCCATTCTATTGAAGAGATCACCTGCTTTTTCGGGTGCAGAGCACTTCATGTACATATCAATCAGGGCTGTAGCTACCGTGATATCTAACTCGAAACACTTCCTAGTAGCAATTTCGTAGATCCTCTTACCTTTTTCTAAATTACCTGCCAGTGCATATGCTTGGAATGCAGTTACCAGAGTCATTGAATTAGGTTCGAATCTTGTGTCAATCATTTCGTTTAAAAGATTTAACGCTTCTATTACATCCCCATTATGAGTGTAACACGCAATCATGGAGCTCCAAGAAACCACATCTAGAACTAAAATAGTTAGAAAGATAGAGCCCTAAGATTTTTAAGATTTGCATCATCCATTTATTTGCACTCTTTAAGATGAGATGACTAATAAGGATTTTGCGAAGTAAAAATAACCTTGAATCCAACTTATTTGGGTGAAAAACTGAACGAAGATAAGATGAGATGACAAATTAAGAATTTTGGAAAATTAATGACATTTCAAAAAAGATTTTGAAAAGTTAAGATGAGATGAGAATGGTGAAACTCTCTAAACTGACATCGACAGTTGGAACCTATTTTGTACCGCAGATTCTTATAATGCCATTATGACGTCGACCAACAACGATTGAACCAGGGCCAGCCCATAAAATTCGGTGGCCTGAGCATGTCATTGGAAATAGGCCCTTGAGCTCCTGTGTTTCAATGTGTTGCACATTCATTTTTAACTTGTATTTTTCGCTAGTTAATCACAATAATGTAATATTTTAGCGGCCCAAACTATATAAGAATAGTAAAGAAGAAAAATACTCATTGAATTGATGTTCACTCGAAAGGATAATGTTAGGAAGACCAAAATTTTAAATATAATTTTGTGAACCAAATAATGTGGTTGTTGATGATTGAATTATTACTTAAATGTTGATTAACGTGCTTATTATATATTGATGATAGATAATTTAATTTGAAATTTTGATCTCCTTAACATTATTCTACTCGAAAACCTAAATTTACGTACCAAATTAAAAAAATTAATTCATATTTACTCAAGTAAAATATAATGAGTTTGTATGTGATTACCTCCATCAGAAGATAGAGATTGAGAATACGAAAGAGAGATGGGAGGGACGGGAAAGAGAGGAGAAACCGGTACACGAGGTGGTACATCACGTGTTACTATATAAATGGTGGGATATATGTGTTAAAAAGTTAATAACTTAAAAAATAAAATTTTCCTCAACTTATATAAAAACACGTAGTATACCTCCCGTGTTCCGGTTACAACGAAAAATTTCTCATCAGGGTTTTTATTTTATATTTTGTATGGCTTTGACAAATTAAACTGTGGGAAGAATAGCACTCACGCGTTATTGACATCATTGACCAATGCAAAAACTTTAAAAATGCCGCTACATTGAGGAATTTTGGAGATATCTGTACGTATAGGGATAGAAAATGTCGCCTGCATTGGAGAATCTTGGGGATTTCTGCACGTATGTAGGGATAGAAACTGCCGCCTACATTTGGGAATCGAGGGGATATTTGTGTAAAACTTAGAGCACTAGGGTTTTCAGCTTTTGATTGCACACCCATATAACGATGGGTCGCAGTGTATTTATACAATACTTTCAGATTACAAGTAGGGTTTTGAATACCCTATTTACACGGATAACTTTGAATTCAAAAATACAAAATCACAACAGCTTATCTTTGAATTATTCAAAACTGAAACCGGACCTAGCAATCTTATCCTATGAAGAGTTTGTTGCAGAGCTTAGTTTGGGATAAGATTGACTCGGTCTAACATCCCCCCGCAAGCTGACAGGTCGAGCAACGACGGGAAGCTTGGAAACTAACAAGTTGAAGCGTGAAGAGGAAAGACCCTTGGTGAACAAATCGGCAATCTGGTCTTGGGAGCAAATAAAATGAACCAAAAGCTGTCCACGGACCACATTTTCGCGTACATAATGGTAGTCCACTTCCAAGTGTTTCGTCCGTGCATGGAAAACTGGATTGGAAGCCAAAGCAATGGACGAAACATTATCACACCATATCTGCGGCCATGGAAGATAGAGATGGAGATCTCGAAACAAACTTCCTAACCATGACAACTCAGCGGCAGTATAAGCAAGCTGCCTATACTCAGCCTATGTGCTAGATCTTGAGACAGTCTTCTGTTTCTTTGAACTCCAGGAAATCAAATTCGTGCCCAAATAGATACAGAAGCCACCAGTTGAATGACGTGTGTCCGGATTTCCCGCATAATCAGCATCAGAGAAAGCATTTAACCGAATATCACCAGGTTTGTAGACAAGACCGTGATCATGTGTGGCCTTTAAATACCGCAAAATCCTCTTAACCGCCATCCAATGTGTAGTCCGAGGCATATGCATGAACTGGCAAACCTGGTTCACAGCATAAGAAAGATCGGGTCTGGTGATCGTCAAGTATTGTAACGCTCCAACAATCGTTCGATATTATTCGGGATTAGAATAAGGTTCACTAGTATACTGACTGAGCTTTTGTCCCGTAGGTACAAGAGTGGATACTGGTTTGACAGCAGTAAACTTGGTGCGCTCCAACAGATCCAACGCATACTTGGACTGTGTAAGATGCATATTCTCCCCAGAATAAGTAACCTCGACACCCAAAAAATAACTTAAAGGACCTAAGTCCTTCATAGAAAACAAAGTGTCGAGCTTCTCTATCAACCATTGCATTTGTTTATCATTATTGCTTGTAAGAAGAATGTCATCCACATAGATAAGTAAGATCAAGTAAACGCCTCGTTGATTAAACACGAACAATGAATAATCACATAATGATTCTTCAAACCCAAGTTGAAGCAGATAATCCGAGAATCTTCGAAACCAGGCTCTGGGAGCCTGTTTTAATCCATACAAACTTATCTGCAATTTACACACATAATTAGGATACTGCTGATCAAGAAAACCTGGCGGCTGTTTCATGTACACATCCTCATCCAAATAGCCATGCAAGAATGCATTCTGTACATCTAACTGTCGCACCGTCCACTTCTTCGACACTGCAAGACTTAAAACAAGCCGAATGGTGCTGTGTTTCACGACTGGACTAAATGTTTCATTATAATCCACTCCGGATTGCTGATGGTAACTATTAGCCACAAGTCGAGCCTTGTGACGTTCGAGAGAACCATCTGTACGTCTCTTGATTTTAAACACCCATTTGTTTGGCAGCAGGTTCATTCCAGGACAATAAGGAACAAGCGTCCATGTTCCACACATTTGCAAAGCACTGAACTCTTGTGCCATTGCTGCCCTCCATTCTGGATATTTAATAACTTGACTAAAATAAGACGGCTCAACAAACTTGGAGTCAGCGATTGCATGCAAAGCGTATTTTGGATTTGGCTTTTGAATCCCAGATTTTGACCTTGTTGTTATTGAGTGGGGGAGAGTAGTCTCTCGTATGGAAGATGATGTGGTAGATAAAATTGATGAATGAGAAGGATTCTGAGAACTTTGCACGGATGGAATGTGAACCAAGTCTTGCTCATTGGTGGGACCTAATGTTGAACTAGGTTGAGGTGTCCTATTTAAACAAGGGATGGTAGTGATAGGTGGAGGAGGAGTAAGGTCCAAATTTGAAACAGTTTGCTGGGGAGTAAAAGTTGGCGTGATATGCGGCTGATCACTAGACACCAAGTTTGACTCAGGCTGGTGGTTGAGGCTAGGGTGAGATTCGACAAAATTTGGTGAAGATATGGAAGGTACCAAGGTTGATGAGGGTGTTGTGGTTAAAATCAAGTCAGGGGTCAAAGGTGTACCTGTGATAGTGACGTCGTCCTTGGGAGATGCAAGTTCCTTGAAAGGAAAGGAATCCTCATCAAATAAAACATGGCGAGACACGTAAATGCATCTCGTGGATAAGTCCAAGCACTTGTATCCTTCATGATTCAGTGAATATCCTAAGAAAACACATGGTTTGGACTTTGGTTGAAGTTTATGCCGTGTATAAGGAGTCAACAGTGGAAAACATTTTGAACCAAACACTTTAAATGCCTTATATTTTGGATTCTTTTGAAACAATTTTTCATAGGGAGACACGTTAGATAAAACCTTTGTTGGAAGCCTGTTTATAATATAAACATCTGTGGAACATGCATCGAACCAAAATTTTTGAGGCATATGAGCATGAGAAGCATTGTAACACTTGTTTCAACTATATGACGATGCTTTCGTTCGGCAATTCCATTTTGTTCAGGATGTTTGGACACGAAAAAACGTTGGGAAATCCCATGTGTAGCAAGAAAAGTTTTGAAATCGCGACTCATGTATTCACCACCTTCATCACATTGAAGAGCTTTAATAGATTTGTTAAACATTTTTTCAACATGTGTTTTAAATGTCACAAAAATTCCAAACACTTCAGATTTATTTTTCATGTGAAAGATCCACGAATATCGTGAGTAGTCATCCACAAACAACAAGTAATAACGAAAACCTTCATTAGAAATAATAGGTGAACTCCAAACATCAGAATGCAAAAGTTCTAATGGACAATAAGACACGGACACAGACTTGCTAAAGGGAAGTTTAGTGCTTTTGCCTAATGGACAAGAGTCACAAAACGTTACAGTACTTGTACCAGATGATGGTACTTGGTTATTTGCAATCAAAAATTTAATAATTGACGAAGCAGGATGACCAAGACGTAAATGCCATTTATGAGGTGAGACTCTAACACCGACACACACTGAAATAGGATAGTTGGACAATCCACCGCCACCAGGAAATGGATATAATCCATTCTCACATCTCCCGCGGAAAAGCGTCTTCCGGGTTTTGAGGTCCTTAACAAGGAAGAAATAAGGAAATATTAGTATGTAGCAATGGTTATCTAGGGTGAATCTGTGTGCCGAAATGATATTAGTGGATGCGGATAGACAATGTAAAATGTCATGGAGGTTAAATGAGTAAGACTTAGTTGAAATTTGATTCGAACCAGAATGTGCAATGGAAAGTTGAGAACCATTACCTACTCCACCAATGTTGTCATTACCAGTGTATTCTTTTGGATTTGCAAGATTCTGAAGGTCTGGGGTGACATGAGCATTGGCACCCGTGTCAAGAAGCCAATTTCCATTATTAGGCATCACTTGAGAAGACGCCATGGCAGCAAGACGATTGGTGAGGATGCGTCTTTCATAAGCTGTATTCATCCGCTGGTAACAGTCCAGAGCCGGATGACCAGGTTTGCCACAAATTTGGCATTTGATGCGTTCTCCAGAAAGGTTGCACCGGTCACCAGTACTTGCAGACGCACCACCACGTTGATTGTTGTTATTGCGAGGAATACCAACTCGTTGATTGCCATTGTTGATGGCACCACCACGATTGAACGGAGAGCCTCCACGTCCATTGCCACGAGAGCGACCACCACGGCCTCGTGACGCTACAAAAGCATTGATCGGAGCAGTTTCAATCAACACAGCTTGCTCCGTCATCCGTTTCTCCGTTGTTAGCAGAAGAGCTTCAAGTGTTGGATAAGTGATTGGAGTATCACGAGCTTGTGCTGCATTCACAGTCATCTCGAATGCAGGACCAAGATTATTTAAAATAATTTGAACCAGTTCATCATCGCTTACTGGTTGTCCGGCCAGAGCAAGGTTGTCGGCGATCGCATTCATACGATCCAAGTAGTCAGCTACAGAGAGGTCACCTTTCTTCGTCTGCAGCAGTTCTATACGCAGAAACAATATACGATTCTGGGAAGTTGACGCATACCGCTGTTCCAATGCTTCCCAGATTGCACGGCACATGCGTTTGCTTGCTACTGTCGACAAAACAGAAGCAGTGAGAGAGTTGTTGATCCAACTGAGAATCATCTGATCATGTTGAATCCAAGTCATGTAGGCTGGGTTAACGTCAGTGGTGCCAGCCAAAGTCTTAGGAGGACACATAATGGAGCCATAGGGTTTTGAATACCCTATTTACACTGATAACTTTGAATTCAAAAATACAAAATCACAACAGTTTATCTTTGAATTATTCAAAACTGAAACTGAACTTAGCAATCTTATCCTATGAAGAGTTTGTTGCAGAGCTTAGTTTGGGATAAGATTGACTCGGTCTAACAATTTGCACGTATATAGGGATAGAAAATGCCGCCCACGCGAGGAATTTTAGGATATCTGGATGTATAAAGGAAAATGATAGGATCATAGGAAGACTTGTTTTCTTTAGACTGAAACGATCAGGAGTTTCACTTCTTTACTTGAAATCAATGAATACCAGCAGCCCCGCCCTTGCAACCGCCGCCGCAGCCGCCGGCGGTTCGTCTTCCTCTCGGCGTTCAAACCGCTGGAAGTACAAGGTGTTCCTGAGCTTTAGAGGCGAGGACACACGCACTGGGTTCACAAACCACCTATCCATTGCGTTAAGCAGTGCTGGAATCAACATGTTTATAGACTACGAGCTCAAAAAGGGGGAGAATATACAGAGAAAACTTGATTGAGAAATTGAAGGGTCGAAGATTGCGGTTGTCGTCTTCTCAAAGAGTTACGCGGAGTCCCGATGGTGCCTGAGGGAGCTGTCGATGATCATGAGGTGCCGAGAAGATCAAGAGGGGAGGCATTTCAGAAGCATGAAAGGGATGAAGACCCAAATGAGGTCGAGCAGTGGAGCAAAGATCTTAAGGCTTCTACAGATTTGGTTGGCAATGATCTTAAAACCACTGCGGACAGGTATCATGTTAAATTTCCTCTTTTACAAAATTTAATCGCTTGCAACATCTTGTACAATTAGATTTTGGGACACTCACTAATCAGCCAAGTCGTGATCCATAAGGCATTTAGTTCATATGAATCATGTTGTTGCATGATTAATCATCTGTTTGCATAATTTGGATTTCCAATTGGCAGGCGTGAAGGAGTATTTATCCAGAAAGTTGTTGGGGACATCATCGGACTACTAAAAACCAGTAACTCAAAAGAAGCCAAGCACTCAGTTGGAATAACTTTTAGCGTGGAAGAATTCGGTACTAAATACTTAGATGTTGGAGGTTCACAGGACGTTCAAATAATTGGAATTCAGTGTATGGGCAGCATATGTCACATACCATCATAGTTTCCGTGGTCAATGTTACCTTGAAGAGGTGAGGAGTAAAAAGAAAAATATGATTAGTCTTCAAGAACAATTTCTTCTAGATATTTTGAAACGACCTGACATTAAAATAAGTAGTGTTGCCGAAAGGACCAAGGAGATAGAGAAAAGACTTGGAAGCATGAAGGTACTAATCGTAGTTGATGACACAAACGATGAACAAGAGATGAACAAGTGTTGAATATACAGAAGGTGGATAAAATTTATAAGGCACAAACGATGACAGATGAAGAAGCTCTTGAACTCCTTAGTTGGCATGCGTTTGGAAATCATTGTCCTGATAAAGAATATATTGAACTCGCAACAGATGTTGTCGATTATTGTGGAGGATTGCCGCTAGCTTTTAAAGTCGTAGGCCATTTGTTGGCTATGAAAAAGAGTAAAAGCATATGGAAAATGACATTGGATAAATTGAGAAACATTACACATGGAAAAATTCATGAAACACTTAGATTAAGCTTGTGTTCCTTGACATATCTCATATCTTTATTAACTCATTTGGAATTGAAGTCGTGGCAATATTGGATAATTGTAGTCGCTTTTGTGTAGAATCAGAAATCCGAACTCTTCAAGATCAATGTCTTCTAGATTTTGATTCATCATTCTTCAAGATGCATGATTTGATTCAAGACATGGGAAGAGAAATTGTGCGGGTAGAATGTGCTACGGAACCTGGAAAACGTAGTCGATTGTGGCATCATGAAGACATAACAAGCGTGTTTAGAGACGAATATGTAAGTACTTTCCCAAATCCCAATAAAAAATGTATAAGTTGAATGTATGTAAATAAACAGAAGCATATGCATATCCCCTATCTAATGCATTGTATGTGCTGCATTTGTAGTTCATTCATAGATAGTCATGGCTTTGCTTGAATTAGATTTGTTTTTGTTTTCCCCTAACAGGGAACAGAAGCAATTAGAGGGCTAACTTTAGAGTTGCCTGAAAACACTCATGACCATCCCTTCCGCACAAAAGCATTTAATAAGATGTGGCATCTGAAATTTCTCCAACTCCACTATGTAAAGCTCACTGGAAGCTACCGTCATCTTTCCAAGGAGTTAAGATTTTTGTGTTGGCATGGATTTCCTCTAGAGGTCATACCCGAAGATTTTGATTTACGAAACTTAGTTTTTATTGACTTGGGCTACAACAAGCTTGTCCGAGTTTGGGAGGATTCCGACCTGGTACGATACATATAATTGTCATAACCTCAACCAAATTATTAATCCTTTACTCGTCCGTGTTTTTTAAATACCAGTCGACAGTCATTCTCTCTCTTTCTCTCTCCCCCTATCTCTCTTTCTCTATAATATGGATTATGATTTTTGTTCTCTCTTTTTGCCAAACAGTTGCCGAAGAAGTTGATGTTTCTTTATCTCAATCATTCCCGTAACCTGACTCAATTACCAGACTTTTCAAAACTCCCACATCTCGTGTATTTGAGCCTCAACAGATGTAAGGGTGTGTCTGGGGGTTACCATTTATTTGCACTACTGAAGATGCTTCAGTATTTAGATCTTAGTGACTGCAATATAACGGATGATGCCATTCTTGAAAGCCTTCGGAGTCTACCTTCTTTAGAGACTTTAAAACTAGATGGAAATGGTTTTAATAGGCTTGTTCGTCACTAGAATTTCCGATGGGGACGTTTCCTCGCGGACGAGCGCACAGCTTCCCGAGAGGTTGGCACCGGTTGATACTGTCTGTCAGGCTTCTGCTTATTGGTGGGCTTGTCGTGCAAGGCCTGTAGGGCAAGGCTTGTCGGGCAAGGCTGAAAAAGAATGACAAAGTTAACTTTGAAATGTGCCTTTATGGGGCCTTAGGTGTAGGCCTTGAGGCTCACAATCAAAATTAACTTTTAGGTGCTCAGGCGTGCCACTGCCATCTTTAGCATGGCAGATGTAAAACAGATGTTGAGTTTAATTGTATATATGCCCGAGAGACTGTGTTAGTTATGAAAGGTGCCTTTGTGGGGCCTTAAGTGTAGGCCTTGAGGCTCACAATCAAGAACTAACCAAGTACTCGAACATATAATGGTTGTTTCATTGTTGCAGAAGTATTATAACTATTATACTTCTAATCACCCGAGCACGAAGAGCAAAATGAACTCAAATAGGTGCCTTTGTAGGGCCTTAGGTATAGGCCTTGAGGCTTCCTATCAGAATTAATTCTATACTCAAACATTCTATGATGATTAGAATATAACAGAGATAAAACTAATAAATAAGTCGATTACTTGCGCCTCAAGCAACTTCAGACTTCTTGTTATCAAGGATTGTCGTGGATGGGTTAAGTCCACATAAAGTTTTTTTTTATGCCTTGAGACCAAGGACTTTTGAATAATCAATCTTGTATGCCCGAGAGATTAGAACTTAGATCTGATTAAGCTGCGAGTGTAGATTCCAACTTATCATTTGCATGGTTGGGCACTATTAACCCCATCGGATTCAAGAACTGAGAAGTATTTTAATCATAAACTTGCTAGAAATAACTTGGATACAAATGGCAGTATACAACATATTACTAGATTTATGAATGAAAAGACAAAAACAAAGAGGGTCGGGCAAGGTTGATCGTCTTGCAACATATTACTAGATATATGAGTGAAATACTGGTCAGTATCTTGTTTCTACCTCAGTCAAAATTCTACTGAGGTAGTACACTGCCTGCTCTTTCCCGCCTTCATTGTTTTAAGCTAGTAGACTCCCGATTGATTTTTCTGAAGCAGAGATATATAGCTTTAAGGGTTTTCCCCTTTGAGGTGGTACCAACACTGGTGGAGAAGTCAAATAGGCTTTGATGCTGTCAAAAGCCTTTTGGTGTGGTAGTCCCCACTCGAAAGTTTCTTTATCCTTTAGTCTCAGCAGAAGAGTCAGTGGTTGGATCTTGCCCGCTAAATTGGCAATGAATCTCCTCAAGAAATTAATTTTGCCTAGCAGCCTCTGAAGTTGTACTTTGTTGGTGGGTGAAGGCGACTTCATTATTGCCCGAGATTTGTTCTTGTCCACTTCTACTTCTTT